CTATTTTTTGGAAGAGTTTGAAGAGAATTGGTATTAATTAGGTCATCATTGAAGGTCTGATAGAATTCAGCATGAAAACCTTCTGGTCCTGGGATTCATTGGTGGGGAGATTTGTTGTTGTTGTTGTTTTTGAGACAGGGGTTCTCTGTGTAGTCCTGGCTGTCCTGGAACTCACTCTGTAGACCAGGCTGGCCTCAAACTCAGAAATCTGCCTGCCTCTGCCTCCCAAGTGCTGGGATTAAAGGAATGCACCACTACCGCCTGGCTTTTTTTTTTTTTTTTTTTGGGTGGGGAAACTTTTAATGACTGCTGCAATTACTTTATGGGTTATGAGACTGTTTAGATCTGCTCCTGGTTTAACTGTGATACCTGGTATCTGTCTAGATTTCCATTTCATCGAGATTTCCAGTTTTGTTGAGTATAGGCCTTTTTAGTAGGATCTGATGATTTTTTTTTAATTTCCTCAGTTTCTGTCTCCCTTTTCAGTTCTGATTTTATTAATTTGGATACTGTCTCTGTGCCTTCTGGTTAGTCTGGCTAAGGGTTTATTTATCTTGTTGATTTTCTTAAAGAAACATCTGAATTCATTGACTTTTTTGTATAGTTCTTTTTGTTTCTACTTGGTTGATTTCAGTGCTGATTTTGATTATTTCCTGTCATCTATTCCTCTAGGGTGCATCATTTGCTTCCTTTTCTTCTAGAGCTTTCAGGTGAAGTTGCTAGTGTATGCTCTCTCCAGTTTCTTTTTAGAGGCACTTATGAGTTTTCCTCTATGAGCTATGAGTTTTCCTCTTAGTACTGCATTCATTGTGTCCCACATGTTTTGGTCTGAGCCTTAATTTTCATTAAATTCTAAAAAGTCTCTCATTTCTTTATTTCTTCCTTGATCAAGTCATCATTGAGTAGATGATTGTTCAATTTCCACATATATGTGGGCTTTCCATTGTTTTTGCTATTATTGAAGACCACCCTTATTCCGTGGTGATCTGATAAGATGCAAGGGATTATTTCAAACTTTTTGTCATCTGTAGAGGCCTGTTTTGTGACCAATTATATGGTCTATTTTTGACAAGGTACCATGTGGTGCTGAGAAAAAGGTATACTCTTTTGTTTTAGGATGAAATGTTCTATAGATTTCTGTTAAATGCATTTGGATCATAACTTCTGTTAGTTTCACTGTGTCTCTGTTTATTTTCTGTTTCCATGATCTGGCCATTGCAGAGTAGTGTTGAAATTCTCCACTATTATTGTGTGAGGTGTAACGTGTGCATTGAGCTTTAGTAAGGTTTCATTTATGAGTGTGTGTGCCTTACCATTTGCTATATAGATGTTCAGCATTGAGAGTTCATCTTAGTAGATATTTCTTTTGACGAGTATGCAGTGTCCTTCCTTATCTTTTTTTATAACTTTTATTTGAAAGTCCATTTTATTCAATATTAGAATGGCTACTCAAGTTTGTTACTTTGGACCATTTGCTTGGAAAGTTGTCTTCCAGTCTTTTTCTCTGAGGTAGTGTCTGTCTTTGTCTGAGGTGCGTTTCCCTTATGCAGCAAAATTCTGGTCCCGTTTTCATATCCATTCTGTTTGTGTCGTTTCATTGGGGAATTGAGTCTATTGATGTTAGGAGATATTAAGACAAAATAATTGTTGCTTCCTCTTATTTTTCTTATAAGAAGTGGAATTATGTTTGTGTAGCTATCTTCTTTTGAGTTTGTTGGAAGACTACTTTCTTGCTTTTTCTTTTCTTTTTTTTTTTTTTTCGAGACAGAGTTTCTCTGTATACCTCTGGCTGTCCTGGAACTCACTCTGTAAACCAGGCTGGCCTTGAACTCAGAAATCTGCCTGCCTCTGCCTCCCAAGTGCTGGGATTAAAGGTGTGTACCACCATTGCCTGACGTCTTTCTTGCTTTTTCTAGGTTGTAGTTTTTCTCTTTGTGTTGGCGTTTTTCATCTATTATCCTTTATAGGGCTGGATTTGTGGACAGATTGAAAAAGAATAAACTTTTTTTGAAACTGCTAGCATATAGAGACTGAAACCAGGCCAGTTGTGTTCCAGGAACTTAGCGGACCACAAAAGGGCAGAACCAAGAGTACAGGTCATCTAGTCCTTAGGCTCTGGGCTCTGGGTTCCAAGGGCTGGCTGGCCACATGATAGATGATTAAACATGATTAAATTCTTGAAAAAAAAAGTACACAGGGTGTATTTCCCACATGATCGAATGGGCTGGGGACCTTCCACTGTTTTTATGATATTGTCTGTTGATGTTTTTATCATTCCCCCTCACCCTCTGGTTTGTGGTTTGCTCCTTTAAATACCCTTCTCCCTCTTGCCTAGGGGTCCACACTCCTCTTGTGAGTCTTGGCCTAAGTTAGCTGATATCCTGAAATAAAGCCTTTTGCAGTTTTGCAGCACAGCAAGTTCTGTCTCTTGAGTTTCTGGATGGCTGTGACTTCCCATGACTTGAGCGAGGGTTTCTCTTCACGGGGGTCTTTCAAGATATTGTGTAAATTTAGTTTTGTCGTGGAATATCTTGGTTTCTACATCTATAGTGATTGAGAGTTTTGAGGGGTATAGAAGTCTGGGCTGCATTTTTGTTCCCTTATTGTCTGTATTATATCAGTCCAAGAACTTCTGGCTTTTACAGTCTCTGGTGAGAAGTCTGCTGTAATTCTGATAGATCTGCCTTTATATGTTACTTGTCCTTTTTTCTCTTACTACATTTAGTATTTTTTTCTTTGTTTTGTTTTGTTTTGTGCATTTGATGTTTTGATTATTATGTGATGGGAGGAATTTTTTTCTAGTCTATTTGAAGTTCTGTAGGTTTCTTATGTTCTTGGACATCTCTTTAGGTTAGGCAAGTTTTCTGCTATAATTTTGTTGAAGATATTTACTAGACCTTTAAGTTGGGAATCTTCACTCTCATCTATACCTATTATCCTTTGGATTGCTCTTCTCATTGTCCTGGATTTTCTGGATGTTTTGGGTTAGTTTTTTGAAATTTGCATTTTCTTTGGCAGTTGTGTCAACGTTTTCTATGGTATCTTCTACACTTGAGATTCTCTCTTCTATCTCTTGTATTCTGTTGATACTTGAGTCTGTGCCTCCTGATTTCTTTGCTAGGTTTTCTATCTCCAGGGTAGTCTCCCTTTGAGATTTCTTTAGTGTTTCAACTTCCATTTTTTAGATCCTGAATGATTTTGTTTAATTCCTTCTCCTGTTTTGTTGTGTTTTCTTGCAATTCTTTAAGAGATTTTTTGTTTCCCCTCTAAGGGCTTCTACTTGTTTACCTATGTTCTCCTATATTTCATTAAGGGAGTTATTTATATCCTTCTTAATGTCCTCCATCATCAACATGAGAAGTGATTTTAAATCTTAATCTTACTTTTCCAGTGTTATGGTGTATCCAGGACTTGTTATGTTGGGGGACTGGGCTCTGAAAATACCAGGTAACCTTGGTTTCTGATGCTTATGTTCCTGTGCTTGTCCTTTGACATCTAGTTATTTCTAGTGCTACCTGCATTCACTGTCTCTGACTGGAGCCTGTCTTCCCAGTTATCTTGCTTTTGTCAGAACTTCTCAGAGTCCAGCTGTCTCTGTGTTCCACTAATCCTGAGCCCCTAGGTGGAAGAGCTCCTAGGACTCAGGCAGCCTCTGGGAACCTGAAATCCTGCTGCTTTGAGTGCAGTGGTTCCTCCACTGCTCTGAGTGCAGTGGTTCCTCTTGGATGGGTCAGCATTTGGTGTCTTTATGGAAGCAAACAAGCTAGGTGTCTGCCTCAGCCAAAATGCAATTTTCTCATTTTAAAGATAGGGTATAGAGGAACAAGGATGTTCCTTCTGGTAAAATAGAGATTTCTAGATTTAATATGGAATTTCAGTGAGAATCATCTTTATTATTTAATCCTACTGCAGTATTTTATATTATGTTTCACAGATTATGGTCTTGCAATTATATGAACTGGAATTTTCTCTCTTAACTATACTTTACAAATTGTGCTGGGGAATGCTTCAGGCACATAAGCCCAAATTTCTAGCTGTTGTCTTGTGGCCTGGAAGCCACAGATGACCCAGAAACCAAGGCTATAGAAATGTGTTTGCTTCAGTCTTTACCAAGATTTTAGACATTGTATAAGCTATGCGTGTATGAGGAAAAATATACAGCTGCCACAACTGGAAACTAGAATGAATGTCTTGGGCACAAATGATCATGATGCAGGCTAGACTTAGAAGTGCTGATGGATATATTGTCTCATCTCTTCCTTCCTCTGGACTCCAACTTGTAATGGGAAACTCTTCTCCCTGTAGCCATGTACACTTGGCTTCTCCTCTAAGACTCATATGAGCAGGTGCTCTCATTCAGTAGCATAGCTTTCCAAATGCTCTGGGGAATGTTTTGCATTTTACTTATGTTTGGCATTTCAGATGTGGTCTAATTGTGTACCCAGGTGGCCATGAATTGACAGAACTTTTACCTCATTAATCAAATTAACATATAAGCCCAGCTTGATTGTGCTTGTCTCTAAATGGGTGAGTAGTACCCATAGACAGGAATCTCACAGGTTTTTCTTAGCCCTTCCCAAGAGAGATCAATCTGTTGAAAGGACAATTAGACTGGTTTGGGCCTGTGACATTGATGCTATATTTTCTTAAAAGGCCTGAAAACTTGTTCCAGTATTTTTTCCCTGAAACAAAACTCTGGTCAGACTGTATGCTCCAGAATAACCCTTTTGACTAGGTATGTAATTAAGAGGAACAGGGATTGGTATCATATAGGAAAATGGGTAAGTTTTTCCACTGTTTGCTTACAAGGGAGTCTACATGCTGACAGTGATGATCTTTTGCCTTGGAGACCATGAGATTGGATAACTGTGCAGACTGGATTCTTCTTCATTATTGCCAGAGCATGGGCTCTGGCCTTCTGATTCCTGTAATGTGTGAGAAATGGGGATATCCAAAATGTAGCCTGAAATTATGTCTCCTAAATCCTTTTCCAGGTTCCTTCTGACTGAACATCTATTAGGATGAGCACCTACAACCCTCCCATACTCGAGCAGCTGGCACTGGAGGCGCTGCTGAGGAATGATGCCATAGACTTCTTTGATCTGGAAAACCTGCCCACTATGCTCTTCCCACCACTCTTCATAGAGGCATTCAAAAGCAGACGCACAGAGATATTGAAGGCAATGGTGGCATCCTGGCCCTTTTTCTACCTCCCTGTAGGACCATTACTGAAAACTGCTGATGTGGAGATGATGCAAGTTGTGCTGGATGGCATAGATATACTGATGAACCAGAATGTTTGTCCTAGGTAGGCAAGGCCCAAGATGGCTATAGGGGAATAGGGTTAGTGGTAGGACACACATGAGGGCAGAAAGACTGTGCTCAAACAGGGCAGAGGCTAATGATGTCATTAACATGGGGATTTGTGGATGTACTATTCAAGTTGAAAGCTTATCAAAATGAATCTCATAGTGGACAGCTCAGAGTACATGTAGTTCTAGTAGGATCATCCTTTCCCTGGCTTTCCTACAGACACTAGATATGGAAGAGACACAATTTAAGAGCAACTGAATGGAGGGAAGTGGGTCATGATGTGTCAGGAGCCATAATGCAGCAGGCCAATAATTAGCAGGTGATCATTCTTAAACCTCTTGCCTTGGATTACTATGTAATCTGGGACAAGTGATCTCTTATTCACCAAGGCTGTAAGAGACATGTTTTAGGAAAGATTTCTTCTATTAATATGCTTTTCCTATTATTAATATTAAACATATCTAACAATCACTAAACAATAGCACACCTCTTTGGAGCAGACATCTGCAGATCCATGCAGATGTACTATCTTGTGTTGATGCTATGTAGACAAATAGATGACTTCTTAAGTCTTATTGGTGATCCTATAAGAATTTCTAAAATTATATCAATGATTATTATAAGCTTTTTTATAGTGGGACTGCTATTAGGTCCTTTTCTGATATTCCAAACTGCAGTGAGAACTCTGCCTGTCTCCCACAAGTCACCAGTTAATTGCTCTTAGATAGTAACCAGACTTTTTCCTACTTAGAGCACATTTGAATAGGTTGTAAAACAATTAACCAACAGTCACTAATGAGGAACTCACAATTTAGTATAGGTGGAAGGACAGAAGATATAATATTGCCTGGGTTTACCTACACAAGACTTCACTAATTTCATAGTTATAGTTTTAAACATTCATTGAACCCGTGGAGCTAGACAGGTGATGGATGTTTAGCCAGATAATGACTCCTAATGGATATACATGTAATTATTCTCTGTTGTAAACTTCTAGTTCAATTTATGATTTGATTTTTGGTGTGAACATGTGATGAACTTTGTAACACGTGATCATGTACTCTGAAAACTGTATAAGTGCTGAAGACAAAGACAAAGAAAGTAGTAGTAGTAGTAGTAGTAGTAGTTGTCAGCCCATCCTTTCCTTTTCTCTTGCCTAGAATTTGCTCTCAGAATTTTTCCCTTATTAGAATTTTTTCTTTTCCTCACTTAGGACCTTTCTGCTTGTCCCTTTACATAGCTTTCATAGGAAACTTTTCACACTTAGTAATAAACTCTATAGTAACTTTTCTAAGTGTCTCTTTCTTTCTGCAACCTCAGAGTAGCAAGCATACGTTAGAGGCCAGCAGTTCCTGCTGAGACAGAACAAAGGCCACATTGTCTAATCCTCTACTGTTAGGATGTAGGTGTTAATCACCTAATCCTGCAATCTTTTACCCTCAGAAGAAGTTTTTAGGACTTTTTAGAACTCATGATCAGCATTTCAGTACAGGTCAGAGAGCCAGAAAGCCCTGAGACCCTCAGACTTTAAACCCATCACCAGAGTCCTATTCTGTGCCCCTGCCACTACCCTCTCTGGGCTAGTAGGCTCCTGGAACAGATGCAGATCATGCAGTGTCCTTGCCTGCCTGGTATGAAGTGTTATTTTGGAGCTGACGTTAGACAAGTGGGATTCAAGCTGATTCCATATTGGTTCCTGTTTTAACTTATGAATCTTTACCCTTTTCCTTCACAGAAGGAGGAAGCTACAAGTGTTGGACTTGAGGAGAGATGTGCATCAGGATTTCTGGAATGCATGGGCTGGAAGAGAAGATGGAATGTGCTCACCAGATATTTTGACAAAGAAGCAAGGCCCAGAGAGTCTTCCTACTTATGCACTGACTCATAGATTGCAGGTGGTCACTAACCTGATCCTCTTTCGCTCTTTGGAAGAAGACCAAAAATGCTTACTCCAGTGGGCTCAGAAGAGCAGTGACTCTCTGCAGCTAGTCTGTCTGAAGATGAAGATTTTTTGCTCCCCCCTGGAGATTATCAAGGAGGTCTTGAACATTTTCCAGCCAATCTATATTGAGGAATTGGAAATACACATACCCGAGGTCCTGTCTTTCCTAGGATTCTTCACACATTTCCTTGGCCAGATGAGAAATATTACCAAATTCAATCTACATCAAATCCTCTTCCAATATAATAACCCCCTGGATGTTTACAGGGAAAATACCAAGGACAGTTCAAAAAGTATTGAGAAATGTTCAATACCCACATATGACTGCCTGTGTTTTCTAAGTTTCAATCCACGTTATATTGATAGGGCTAGAAATATCAGTCTCGAAGGACTTGAAATCCTATGCCAATCTAGTGTTTTGGATACAGTGATAGATTTAAAGAAGTGTTCTGCAATTTTTTTTTCTCAGTTCTCCAAACTAAAACATCTCCAGAGTCTCTATTTGAATGGTGCCCACGTTTCCTATGACAACATGAAAGTTTTGTACAGGTAAGGAAGGATGGTGAGCTGTTTCTGTGCCAGCAGAAAAAATTTCCTTTTACTTGGAGCATTAGTGAGCACCTGAGGTGTGTCAGTCACAACGGGTGTTACAATCAAAGTGTGGACTCTTTGTTTCTTAACTGAACTCACTTGGTTCAATTTCTACTCCTTTAGTTGAGTCTGAGCTGGGGTAGGGGATATTGAGATAGCAGCCTTGCAGACATGTCCATTGTGTGGGTCAGATGCAGTAAGTGTGCTTTGCATATTCCTCTTTGGGATCTAGACAAAGCTAATGGAAGGAAACAGGACAGAACAGAGAGCCCTGAGGCAGAGAGGCTCCACACTTGCTCTATACAAAGATACATGTGTAGAGGAACCAGTTTGTTCCTCTATTGGAGTCGTTCAGGCTCTAATTCTCCCTAAAGAGAAGGATGGTTGGGACTAAGTAGATGAAAAATTTGTGACATTGGGTGGGGGTCATCAGAGTTAAGGGTAGAACACTGAAATCAAGGATGGAGACTGTGAAGATAGCAGGGACAAGGATAAACTCTGCAGGAAACAGGCCAAGATGTTGCCAGAACCTTCCTGCGCTAGTTCTTTCTAGGTATGCTCTTCTGGCATGATGAGGCAAGCTCTAGTTCTTTGACAGAATGAATATGGAGAGTTGCAGATCTGTGGTCCATCCCACATGATAGTAGTATTCCTCAGTAGACAATGCTATGAGCAGACACTAACATGCTGTGTTCCCAGGTTGGATGTTCAACAGAAGCATAGATTGACTCTACATATGTGGCTTCTCTGTCAATCTTATTAATGTCCTCCAACAACATGACCCAGAACCAATTTCTTGTTCTTACTCTAGATGCCTGAGGACCCCCTTGCAGTCCTTGTCTATATCTTTCTGCCAACTCTCAACTTCAGACCTGAAACACATGACAAAGTGTCAGAGCCTCTATCAACTGAAAAAACTGCACTTCAATAATGTAGTATTTTCCAAGTCAGGTTCCAAGATTCTCAAAATACTCCTAGAGTATGTATCTGAAACTCTGAAGAATCTACAGTTTGAGCATTGCAGAATGAAGGACTCTCAGCTCAAAGACCTCTTGCCAGCCCTGAGCCAGTGCTCACAGCTCAACTTTATCAATTTCTACTATAACGACTTCTCCTTTGATGTACTGATAGACCTTTTGCAATGCACGGCCAATCTAAGCAACTTGACTGTAGAGGTGTACTCTGCTCCAAATGAGTGCTATGATCCCCTGGGTAATGTTTCAATGGACAGATTTTCTGAACTGTGTTCTGAGCTGGTAGAAATACTCCTGCCCAAAAGGCTGCCCAAGGAAATCATGTTTGCTACACCCACCTGCCCTCATTGTTGGGGGTGCTGTATCTATGTCTTACAGGACAAGATCGAGGGTACCAATGCTTGCCGTTGTTGGGAGTTAATAGAAGATTGATTCTGGATGCTGAGAAATGAAATCTGAAGAAGTACATTCACCAAAGAGTCCCTGAATTCATAGATTTAGATACAATGCAAAATGATATTCATTGGATTTAGACCTCGGGTGACTTGATATAAAGGACAGTAGGATGGTAGGAACAGGTGTCTTCTGGAATCAGAGTTTTGCATGTCTAAATATGCCTCCATCAGAACAGGATCCATACTGGCTTTCCCATTTTGTAAATATAAGGCCAATCTATGAAGTGATTGGTCTCCTCCTGTGTATGACCCATGTCACTGACCTCAGTTTTACGTTTGTGCTGTTCTATGACTTCCTGATATATGATCAAGGAAATTATCAAAGTCAATGATATTATCTTCTACTATTTGCTTCCCACTGTTGTCTCCTTGGTTTGTTATGTGCACAGAACTGTCAAACTATTTGTGAAGGGCTCCTAAAAACCACTCTCTGTGCAGAACCATCCTTGAGATGGGATGTGATTGTGGGCACAGAGGCATTCCTACACAAGACTATCAAAGTGAACACATTCTAGAAACAGGGTGTGGGGTTGTTGTTAGAACTTGCATTCCATCAGTGCTCACAGAGATGGGCTATCACAGGATTCCCTATGTCCATGGGGCATCATGGTCTATCAAAATATTGCATAGTTTTATTGGTGAAAGTGTGGTCCCTTAACACACCTTATTCAGCACAACTAGAATGCATACTGTCTCCAATCCCATAGGGGCTGAACCCTCTACTGATCAATTCATTCACAGAAATTTAGAGATGGGATAAGCAGACTTGTCATGCCTCAGGCACATCTGGAATTCCTAATGTCTATGCCATGCCAGTGTTCTTTAAGGCAATGGAGTTAGTTTAGCAAGAAGTCCCCTATGGAGAAAATTCATTCTGCATCTTCTGGATCATTACCTCTGGGTTCAGCTTCAGGTCAAGACTGTTTCCTCAACTTTGGACCTCTGCCTCAGCAATTCAGAGCACAAAGACACCCAGAGACACATTGTGTTTTAGACTGTTATCCAGAATACACCCGCCTATAGAGTAAACTCATCCTCTACTTCCAGCCAAATGGGTATCTTGTCCTCAGTTGGTACCCTACATCAAATAGGGTACCTTAGGCACAGGAGTGATGGCCCAACAGATAAGCGTGATTTCTACAATTTTAGACCATTTAGGATCTTTTCTGGTACCAACCTGAAGACTCCCATCCATCTAGCTGTCTGTAACTCTTCTTCCATTGAGTCCTATGCTCATCTCTGAACCCCTATATGATGCACATAAGTGCATGCTGGCGAAATATACACTTACATTAAAATAAACACACCTACAATAAATAGTCACAGTTTAAAAAATACAGTTTAGAACTTGACGACCAATTGGTTGTCTTCCTTAGGGAAAGCCAACTCTTCTATTCTGTGCTTTTCAGTTTTCTACAGTTCTTTGTGTAGTGCTGAGACCTTGGGGAATTGTCTCTGTCTAGTTTGCCATGTTCACTGGTGCCATGCTTCAGCTTCTGTAAGTTCAATTGTGTTTTTCAAGCTTTGTCTAGCTTTTTACATTACTAGCAGATGCAATCTCACAGCACATTCACTGGTTGTCTAGAGCTTGCAGTCCTCTTTCCACATCTTCAGCAGTGTTTGCTGTGTGTTTTGCACATGTACCCTCTGGTATTGATGTCCATAATTCTGTATCTTTATTGGTTTGGTTTTCTGTAGCGGTCTCTGTCTCTTGAAAAGAGAAGTTCCTTTTATGTTGGGTAAAGTCTCTAATCATCAGTGGCTATAAGGGCAGATGTTTGCATATGTTTGTTAGGGATTATGCTTGTTTACTACAGGAGTGCTCCTAAATTGTCACCCCTGAAAACACACATGTATCTCTTAGTCAGAGTCTTATTCACATGAAGAAAGACCAGAATCAAGGCAACTCTTTTAAAGGAAAACAATTAATTGGGGCTGCCTTGTAGTTTCAAAGATTTAGTCCATTGTTGCCATGGTGGAATGCATGGTGGCATGTAGGCAGGTATGGAACTGAGATTTCTACATCTAAATCCAGAGGCAGCCTAAAGAGAGAGTTAGCCACTAGGTCTGGCTCAAGTTTCTGAGATCTCAAAGTCCATTCTGAAGTCACACTCTCATGCAACAGGGCCATGCCACACCTATTCGAAAAAGGCCATGTCGTCAATAATTCCACCCTCTATGAGTCTATGGGGTCCATTTTCAGGCATCCATGATATGAGTAGGTTCATACAGACTTAATAGTTTATATTCAGAAATATATGTGTGTGGGTACACACACACACACATACATATGCTTGCAATAATAATTAGCAAAGAGGTTATAAACTTGGACACCATTGCAGGGTTTTGGTGAGTGTTTGTAACGAGGTAAAGAAGATATGTAATTAAAAATTTTAATCTCAAAGAGAAAACAAAATAAGTATTGTATCTAAAGATGATGAGGGCTTCAGAGTCAGTTTCAGCAGGACAGATAATTTTTTTCACAAGTGGGGAGGCTAATATACTCAGTATAAGTCCATACAATTTTGTAAGGCAGCATTCCAAGCTCTTCTTATCCTACAAAAGTTGTAGGATGTAGCTTAGTTGCTACAGTATTTGTCTAACATTGCAGAGTCATGGGTTAAATATAAGAACCACACAATACTGGGCACAAGAGTGCATACCTGAAGTCTCACTATTGTAAAGGGTGAGGCAGAGTATCAGAGAGGTTCCAGATTATCCTAGTTACTTAATGTTAAATTTATTCTTGGTTGTCAATTCAAATACATCTATTATTAACTAGAAGCCAACTTGCTGGACATACCCGTGTGTAATATTTTGGTTCTGAGGTTTTTTTCTCATTATTCGTTGTTTTGGATAGGGACATATTTTTGCTTAATTTTGATTTTGATATTGTTATTGTTGTTGTTGCTGTTTTGATTTGGACAGAGTCACTCTGTGTATCCTTCGTTCAGCTGGAAGTTACTCTGTACAACAGGCTGGCCTAGAACTCATAAGAGATCCACCTGACCTTGATTCCTAATTGCTGAGATTAAAGGTCTGTGCCTTTAACACACCTGGTATCTTTTTTTCTTTTTTTCCTATGCCTAATATCATGTTTATTGATGAGAGGATAGAAACATGGTATCAGCATGATTCTTTACCAAAACCTGACATCATACAGCATTCCAGAATAATGCAATAAAGCAAAATAAAAGCAGATAAAAGTTTGAATTGAGAAGAAACAAAAACATCTTTGTTTAAAATTATGTAATTATTTCTATAGAAATTCCCAAAGTCTCAAGAGAGACTATGAGTTCAAATAAACGATATAACAAGGATACAGGAGACAAGTTTAGGGCACAAAACCCAATTGTCTTTTGTATCCAAAGAAATAGACTACAATTTTTAAAAAAATACAATTAAGCAGGATGTGGTGCAAATGCCTTTAATTTTTGCTTTTTGTGAGTTTGCATCCAACCTGGCCCTACATAGTGAGCTCCAGTCAAGCCAGGAATACATAGTGAGACCCTGTCTTTAAAAAAAAAGAAAAAGAAAAAGGGATAGAGATAGGGGTAGAGATAATGATAGAGGCAGAGACAACATATATAGAGAGATAGATAGATAAATTTGATATATATAGTTACATTAGTATCCAAAATGGAATAGATACACATAAAGTTAATAGTCTATACAAAATCAACGTAAGAGAAACCATAAAACTCTAATTAAAAAATTAGAGACCTAAATAATCAAGAAGATCTATAAATTCAAAAAGATTCTAAAATTAAAATTCTAAAATTAACAAAGCACTATAGTTTGGATTGAAATGTCCTTAAAAGTTTGAAGACTTAGTCCTCAATGTAGCGATATTCAGAGGCAGAGGTTTTGGTAGGTTACTGGATAACAAGGACACTCTATCAATGGGCTCATAATTGAATGGTCCATCAAGAAGTGGTGGAAACTGCAGTAGTTGCATCTAGCTGGGGGAGACTGTCATTGGAGACACTCCACTTAAGGGTATATTTCTTGCCCCTGGCCCTTTTTTTTTTCACTTTCTCTATTTCTTAGCATAAGAAGTGCAGCTGTGCTCTACTGGACACTGAGCTATGTTTGGCCTTGGCTTAGCTGGAATTAATGGAGCAAGTTATCACAGACTGATGCATCAGAATTCCATCCACAGATGAAACTTTCTCCCAAGTTAGCCAAGTTCTTTCTCTGACAATATCGGGTACCATTAACTTCGGACATAATGCAATAAGTTCAGTTTTTAATTTCTTCAAACACAAGCATGGCCGAGGCAGCTCTTGGGGACCACTGTCCTGTGCAGGGTCGCCCTCCTGAGGCTGTGGGTGGCAGGGATTTTGCAGCCATGGCTGTGTACAGGGCTTTGGGTGGCATGAACCACGTACACCATCAACAGACAGCAGCAGATCTGATGCAACTCACATCAGGGACTTTATGTTATTCAAGCTAGCCTGGGCACCCAAAATGCACCACCTTCATGCAGAACCATTTTGGTTGGGAGTGGAGCCCTGAGTGTTTATTGGGGAAAGACTATAGTAAGAAGCAAGAAGAGAGTACTTGTGGAAGCACCTAATTGGAAAGCTACTATAATTGACTGGTGCTGAGAGTCACATTATAAACTTAATTTCTGTTCCCCTCTGCATTGGTAGTCATTAGGTAGTTGGTAAGCTTGTAAATTGGAGGTGCATGTCCATTGGGGGTATAATCTGGAAATGCTGGTCTTGCTGAGAGTGTAACCTGAAAAATGATGGTCTTGTTGGGGATTAGCCTAGAAACTGGAACTACACTCTGGGTTTTGGGGGGTGGAGAGGGGAGAAAATTGCAAAGTAATGCTAAGTGCCATCCTGTTAGCTTACCTGAGTTAAAACTTAGGTCAGGTCTTCTAAAATGGAGTCTGAACTTAAAAGATTTGCTCTAACTGTGCATGACACCCCACTGGTAATGCAGACATACACCTCAGGGACATTTTTT